AATAATAATTGATGAAGTACCAGCACACCGTATTGTCAGCACAACTCTCCCAGGACATCCAACCACAGGTAGGAATTTTTCAGTAGTGCTTATCCAAAAATTGCTGTGAAAGGTGTCCCCTCCAAGCAGCAAGGGACGGATGTCAGCTTTTGGGGATGAAAATGAGCATCTTAGCATTGTGTGAAACCTGGAGGTGGGCAACAAAATCCATCCCCCATCCTGGGCATCCTACCCTCTCTATTGAACCCCTAGTTTCAGACACTAACCAACAAAATATTGGGTCAGTAATAAGGATAAATATGTCTGCCCTATAACCAAGTTATCAGTAGTTTTCCATGGCTTTTGCTCCAATAATGAGAGGTCCTATTTCAACGTTTTGCTTCCTGAAAATCCCCCTGAAATCCTGGTAATGCTCACAGTACAAGGTCCCACATGGACTAATAACCTCGCTGAAGGACACTGGCGGCTTAAATACCTCATCTAGAATCTTTTACGGATCGGGAGACAAGAAATGCCATCCTTCCTGCATGACATTATGGGGAGGGGAGCAGTATGTTAAAACAGCACGTTGGACTCAGCGGAGAGTAGCATCACTGCCAAGTATCACAGCTCAGCCTGGAGACAGACCTCTTTTGTTTTAAATCTCTCTGGCTACACTTCCTCTGGGATGATGCAATCCTCAAAGCAAATTAACATACACAGGAATCTCCAGTGCACGGGAATATGTCATAAGAAATAACTATTTTTAATGGTGTTCTACCAGGGCTATGACAGAGTCAGCGAGTCAGCTGAATACAGAGATGCTTCTCCCCTGCAGTACATTCAGCGGTGCCAGAAACCCAAAACTCATGAACAGTCTTGAGTCTTTGTTGTTCTTTAAGTGCCCTCGACATGGAACTGGAAATAGAAAGAGCATTAAAAAAATAAAAATAAAAACAAACAAATAGGGATGTTCTGATTGCAGGCAAATCTGAGCTGAAGGTTACTGTTATTTTTCCCCTGCTTATATTGCTCCTGTTGCACATTTATAGCACGATAAGGACTTATCTCCATGGCCTTTAAAGAGGTTTGAAGAAGTGAGGGTTTGTTCTTGGAAATCCCTGCCTCTCCTCTCTCCCGTTGCTACAGAAGAGACACAGAAAATCCTCTATTTAGGGCTCTAGCTTGGGACTCAGGAGACCAGAGTTCAGTTCTCACTCTGCTGCAGATGTCCTGGGTCGCTTTGGGGAAGTCTTTTTGCTGGCTCTTTAAAGCTGATTTCAACAGGAGAGTCTCTCTGAAGCTTCAAGAATGCCTCAGTTGCTCATCTCCAAATGCCTTCAGCTTTCTCTGGCTGCAAAAATTATAATTACATCACAGTGGGAAGAAGAAAAACACAACCAACATTAGATATTACAGCGCTCAACAGAAATCTCAGCGGTCAGGTGAGAAGCAACCCCAATGGGGATGCTAGTGGCTGACGCAGACTTTGAAAGCATCAGCATGAAGAAAACAGTAAATGTGAGCTGTCAGCTTGTGAGAGGCAGTTTATGCCTCTGGTTTGTGTCTAACAGACTCTCTCCAGAGTTTCCTTAAACAGGACGAACTGCTTCCCCAGCAAGCAGCTAAAACGGCTGGTTTTCCTTCTGATATTGATTACTCTCTCTAGAGCTAGGAGAGGAGTCATCATATCCAAAGGAAATTAGATGGAGGTGGGAAAGTGTTGTCAACAGAGCTGTAAGAAATTAGGAAAAACTGCCTGGGGAAACAAGCTGACTTGTACTTCTTCTTAGAAAGGTCATCAGGATTAGGAGTCTTGGGAGAACTTCATTAAAGTCAGGAGAAAAAAAAAAAAAATTGCAAGTGGGGAAATTAATTTAGGCAGCGAGAAATTAAACGTACACAGAAAGAGACATTGAAGTCGGTCGGGAAGGCGCCAAGAGGGAGATGCTGGTACAATTCACCCTGGATGCAGGGGTGAGAGAAGTGAGGGGCAGGGAAGGTCCCCGTTATGTTGAACAACAGGGGTGCACACCTCGCTGCAAACCTTCCCTACAGCTCAGACCACGTGTGCATTGCTGAGTTGGACACCAAGGCTCAAGGCCAGCCATAAACCAATTTTTCTAAGATGTGAATTAGTATCTGTGGAGGACAATTCTCTTCCAGAGTGGGGTGACACGAGGTTGCTGTGCATAAGGAAGCAGAGCTGCAGCAGGTTGGTCAGGGGTATGAGTGTGATAAAGTGCACCTCACCGATGAGCAGACACTAAAATCCCCTCTGTGCCCTGGGGAATCAGGCTGGTGAAGGTATAAAAATTCATCTTGGGAAAGAACTACATTGAACAATGTGACAGAGGGTTGTTTAAAAGGCAGAAAGACCAAAGGAATGCTGTCTGACTTACTTTGCTTCATCAAACTACTGAAAAAAGTATAGAGGATAGAGTCATCAGGGCTAGAAATAGAGTCATCTAGGTTGGAAAAGATCTTCATGACACCTCGCAGCCCAGAGCAGGGTCTTGAAAGTGATCCTTGCACATCCAAGCCAAGTGTCTTACACATAATATGGCTTAGCTGACAGGAGTCAGTATCCACGTATCCCTTTCTAATTTTCTAGCATCCTTACCTCGAGAAACTCACCCTCCTGAAGTCGCACAGATGGGTGCCTGTTCTGGGAAGAGCTCACTTTTGAAAGATGGGTGTTTTCGGAGTGGAAATTTCTTTGGAAGATTCCCACTTAGATCAAATCATAACAAAAGTGGAGAAGAAGCTGCATTTTTGAAGTGTAGATCCACATTGTGCCTTCAAAGGGAACCCCTGAAGATGCATCTTTCTCCTGGGTTTTCACTGCACAGAGTGAGGCAGCACTGAAGCCTTGAATCAATGCCCCACTGCGCGTTATTAAGGCCCCGTTTCAGCTGGATTTCAGCTTTGCTGCCTAAACCTATGGCAGCTTCATTATCCTAGGTGGAACTTAAAGCAGTGAAAAATGTAAGAATAGAAAATGACCTGCTCCTGAGTCTTTGAATCACTCCTGATCATTTTCTTATAGGACTATCGGTTATAAATAGAGTTTCCATACTAGGAAACAACAGAGGCCTCTTTTCTCTAAGAAGGGCAGAAGAAAACCTTCTGCTGATCCCAGGGCAGGAGCAGACTGGTACAGGGTGACTGACACCAGCCGAGCTGCGAGCCATGGCCCTGTGATGCTCTAAGAAAAGGCACAGGTCCCCTCTTTTTCTCTTTGTGATTTCTAGCACTACCTAAAAAAAAAAGAGTTTGACGCTAGAGAGGTGTGAGACAGCACGTCAGGATGGAGGCTAATTTAGGACAATTTGGGTCTGTTTTCTGCATATTCAGAAAAAAAAAAAATATATATATATATTTTTAATGTGTATATATAAAATATATATATTTTAAATGTTTTTAAATATATATTTTTTTAAAGGAGAGGGGCTGATCCTGGCCTGTTACAGGCAGCTGTGGAAAATTGAAAGCACTGGACTCTCAGTGCTCTCAGTGCCCTTTGCACCACTTGTCAGGACCAAAGAGCTCTGCCACCTTCAGTTTCTAGACTCAAGCAGCCAGGAATGAGTAGTGCAAGGTTGGCACAACCAGTTAAAGGTCTCTCCTTGCATCCCAGGCATGAAGGCTTCTCCTTCAAAAGAGATGCCAGCTCTGCCTGGAAAACTCAATTACTTTCTCGAGTGCTTTTTGTATATCTTCACCACCCATGGAAGTGCAAAATGATGCCCTGAGCATGCATGGCTAGGGGAAGGCACCAAAACCCTCTCCCTCCAGGGCTCAGGTTTGGCATCATTTTTTGGACCTGTCCCACATTCTCCAGCCATCCACTGCCTCTGCCCAGGGACAGGCACAGGACACGTGCCAGGCAGCTCCTCTGTGCTCATAGCAGCTTGCAGCTCTGATCCAGGGGATTCAAAAGGGGCAGGGGGCTCTGCCCTACATTTTGCAGGGCACCCAAGCAGTGCAGCTGTGGGGGGAGCACGGTTCTTTGCCAGCTCCTCCTTGCAAAGCTGCTGCATGCAGCAGGGGTGATTACAGAGACAAAAATGCAGGTACCTTTGTTTGAAAAAGAGAACAAATAAGCAAAAATGTTTGCAAAAGAGACATTTGTCATGAAAGAGGAACATAATTAACGGCCCTTCATGTGGCACTAAATATGGAGAGTAAATGAGCGCCCTCTGATCTCCAGGCTTTTATGTTTATTTCTCTATTTTGCTCTTGCTGGGGGACAAGAGCAGCTTTTCCCAACGAGAAGGCCCTCTCACAATAGCAGGTAATTAGTCAAGGGGCCCGAAGGGATCGAATCTTGTCAAGGGAAACTCATTTATACAGTCAGGTGATGAAGCCACATGATTGCAGCCGAGCGCCGCAGTGGCCCATTGAGACACAACGGCACGCTTGTCACATGCCCTCCACCAAGCTGGGAAATTGCTATTTTCAGACATCCCCCTTCCCCCAAAAAGGAGCCAGAAAGTGCAGCAAATAGGTTTGTGTACCCAAGCATGCATGCATGGAGTGGGATGGGGGGACCAGACCCTGTGTGAAGAGGGAACAGGTTTGTGCAGTCAAGCTCCCCGTGATGCCTCGCAGAGCAATGACCATAACACATCTCGCCTTAAGAGCCCTTTCCCTGGGAAGATTGCTGGCCTGTTTATAAATATTGCCTATAACGAAGCCTCACACTACCCCATGTGAGCTATCCGAGCGCTATAATTAGGGCTGTGATGAATCCACATTGTTATGGATGTGCCGGACACCAAATATCAGGCCTTAAATTTCCGAGGATGCCAAATGCAAGCGTGGCAGATCAGACACTCTATCCCATTTGTTGAAAACAAATGTCTTATTTACGTTGCCCTGGTTGTAATCTCTATCCCCAAGCTGCTGTTATTAACTAACATGAGTTTTCTCGGATAGCTGAGCAAGAGACAAAGATCATCAGGGAGGCAGGAGTGTCGCGGGAGAGGCAGGATTAGGAGCATACTTTACTCAGACAATTATTTTCAAAGCCTGTGGATGTTTAGGCCTTTATTATCTCCCCAAGAGCAGCACGGTTTCCCTCTGCCTCTAAACACTGAGGTATAGGACCAGCTGCTTTTGCAGCACGATTCCCCGTACGCCGAAAACACAGCCTGTTCTCACCTGCTGGAGCCAGGAGGATATTCTGCAGTGCCCAGTGCTGATATAACACTCGTCATCCCCTGGTGGCCCACCTGGCCCTTCTCCACCACTTCTGAGACCACCCTCCAGTCCAGGTCCACCCAGCACCAGCCCACTCCTCAGCCCCGCTCTCCAGCAGCCAAGCCCAGCCCTGGAGGGCTCTCTCTGGGGAAGAGCAAGGACCCCGAGCCACATCCACGAAGTCTGGATGAAGGCAGCCCAAGCTCAGTGCTCCCAAAGCACCGTGGAGGTGTTGAACTCAAGCCAACAACTGGTGGTACAGACCAAAGTCAGAAAAGTCGGAAGCATTAGCACGGCTTGAAGCTGCCCACAGGTCCGAGCATCATTTCACAGCCTGGGGCAGAAATCAGGGTGGTTTTGAGCATTTTCTACAGCCACCCTGAGCTTTTACCTGCTGGCATTGGGAGCCAAATCTTCAGCATCAAAAGGGGAGTGAGAACTCGTGCGGCAGGCACCTTCCCACTGCGTGCCGAGGAGACGTTCCTCTGAGGTAATTTAAAACTCAGGGCTGATTATTCATTGCTTTGGGAACCATCCCAATTAAAACGGTCTGTCTGAAGCTAAGCTTTGAGCTTAAAGCCTTTCCATCTGGGGCCACGGCGTGAGCTCTTCCTTGCAAACACTGGTCCCTGCGAAGCGTTCCTGGCTGGGGAAAAGTACCGCTAAGTACAGTCAGAAAGATGGAGAAAGCCAGGGCTGAACTTGCCTGTGCCTTTGTGCCTGCAAAACGTCTAACTGCATGCATAAGCACCTTGTTTGCGCAGGCAAATGTGGATTTAGCATGCACAGCCAGGCTCTGTGAAGTAATTTTACAGTCAGTACGTACGTGCCAACCTCTGAAAATTTGTCCTCAAACATCCTTTGGATTCCAGAGTTTATCCGTGCAGGAGTCAAAGCGACTCCTGTGTTTGTGCTTGCCGTGAAGTGCCTCCTCGGCTGAAATGAGGCAGGACCAAATTTTGTCCTTCCCTTTTCCTTTGGCTGGCTTTGGGGAGTGGGCTCTGGGGTGAAACGCCGCTCCAGCACACATTCAGATGTAGCCCGGCTGCTTCCAGGAGCTGAGTTTGAGCCCTGCTCACCAGTCTGGGGCTCTGCCGCTGGCCCAGGGGTGCAGGTATTTGGGAGAGATGTGCAGATCTGTAGGGGATGGTGAGGAACTAATACAGGGCACTGGGGAACGGTGGGTCAGGCCGAGGCTTTTTCCATTGCTCGTTTTTAAAATCCCTTGTCATGCACAAGCACACCCCCGCTGCAGTAATAAGGCCCCAGAGGCCAAGAGAGGCCAGGGGTATTTAGGTTAAATTTACAGAGTGTTTTCATAAAGTCTTTACTTGTGTCCTTTATGATCTCCCTGCTCTTTCCCATAACCTTCCTCCCTCGGTCACCATCTTCCACCCTGAGAGGTCACTGGAGAGGTTTGGGGGGTCTGTAGGATGCTTTTCTTCATCTCCCCTCCTGCTTTCCCAACTGCTTCGAAGAGCCAGAGACAGAAAGCACCAAATTCAGTTCAAGCTGCCCTCACATCAATATTGTTGAGCCAAAGGAGGCTGGTGGGCAGCAAAAGCCCAGACCTTGGGGCCAGCTTGTGGTTGTTGTCACGTACCCCACTGACTTCTGTGCAAGCAGACCGTGGTCTTCATCATAAGGCACAAATGTGCTTTCTTCTACGGTAAATACGTAAATAAATAAATAAAAGAAGAAGAAAAAGATCTTTGTGTGGGTGTATATTGATGATTGGTTATAGATGCTGAGACGCTGGTTTGATCTCTCACCAAGCACCTCTCCTGGGATGGGCCCATCCTAAAATTCACACCACCCTGAACTTACTCCCCGCTGCGAACCACATTTTCCGTAACTCTTCTTGGATCAACCACCCAATTTGCAGCAAATGATCCGATTCTGCAGAAAACCAGCACGCTTTTCTCCTCCTTCCCTTGAAGATCATGCAGCCCGTGTTCAGCCTGCGGCTGGTGGGAGTTTTCGCGTTTAAAAATACACGTCCCCATCCTCTCTCACATACATGCATGGCTTGCACATGACGATCGTTTATTAAAACTCCTCACTCGGAGGCGAGCGGCTGCTGCAGACGGATTGTTGCAGGAGAGCTGGCGACGGAGGAGGTGAGCGCATCCCCACACCATCGCCGGAGGTGTCTCTGCCAAGCCGTGCCCGGCAGGTGGGCTTTCTCTCAGACCTGGCCCCTTATTTCTTGGAGCTGCCGTGAGAGAAACCTCACTGGGGCCACATCTTGGTCCTTATGTTCTTCCTCCCAGCTGCCCTCTTGTTTGCTCGTGTTATTCTGCCTCTTAGTTAATGATGAGCTCTGATGTGGTTAAACACTGACACAGCCAGCGAGACTGACTACAGTGATATATTTTTATTATTTCTTTTGTGCAGCACTTCATTTACCGTGGTTCATATTATATCAGGAATCTGTTTAAAACACGCTCTGGGGTCTCTTCTTCCTATTCACTGCATCCCATTAATGCATCCTGAAAGGGATTCTCACATATACACACTTTCTGTGCTTGCTATTTTCTGCCCTTTCTTCCCTTCACCAATCTGCATCTCTCCATCCTGCCGGGGGATTAGGGCCATTGTTGCTATTTAAAACAGCTTCCCTTTGGTCTGTGCTCTGAAGGCTGGACGCTGGCCCGTCACTTTCCCACCTGCTTGGATAGTCTCTGCTTGGGACTGAAATCCCTCATTATGTCCTTGACTTCAATGACGCAGATCTGCCGGGGAATCAGGGCCGTACACAATGGGCAGCCGGTGTGGTCCTGCCTCTGCAAGTACCGAATCAGGGCAGCCTTTCAACTGATCCAGTTGGCCCACCGAAACCGAGAGGCGATGGCTTTGTGTCTACCACTGTATGGAGAGCGGGCCTGGCTTCTCCTCCGTCCTACAACATCAGGCCTGGGGCATGCAGGTACACACAGTTGCAGCTCCATCATCTGAGCCTCGTCTCCACATCCAGCTGGGCTCAGCTTCGTGCAAGGTCTGCAATGAGGTAAGGAAAGACCAATCAAGAGAAAAAATTAAGCCTTCATATATCAATATATATATTTATTTATACATATATACACATCATATATCTTATATATGGGGAGGAAACCAGCTTGCACACTCGTTTCCTGCACTGGCTGTAACTCCTCTCCCATCCTCCTCCCTCCAGCCTGAGCACAGGGCAGATGCAAATAGGGGCTGCCTCATCTTTATGCCACCTGAACATTAAGATGACAAGACGATCTCTGGCAGCAAGGCTAAAGCAGCTCTCCTTCCCTTTAGTGTAGCTGGGGCGGTTTAAGAGACAGATCTAGGTGCTTGGGTCCAGCCCATTATGTTCAATGGAGCTGCATCCATTTGCAGCCGTGCCGCGTTTGACTCCCGTAAAACACATCGACATGGGGAATAAATGAGTTTCTATAGGTCCTGGAGTTGTACACAAATGCACAATGATCTCAGATCCATCTGCTCCCCAAGGCCTGAAAGTAAAATCTGCTTCCAATCTTATGTTTTATGCTTATTGCTGTCATGCTGTTTATACACCCGAATGCTGCACATTCTCGTTTTGTTTAACATAAACAACAACTATGCACCGTCTGCTGAAACTTTGTCAACTGCCTTTTCCTTCTGTCTGGATAATGAAAAGACACAATCCAGCAAATGCATCTTATTCTAACTGTTTGCTTCCAGACGTAATACATCAAGCCCGAACATAAGAGGCGAGGGGAAAAAAATTAGATGGATTTCGTTTTGGTAGATGCAATTCGGCTTAGTTTCATGGAAGTCAGTACAACAGCAAGCAAGCAACAGCCAACAAACCATACCAGTGCTGTATCCTTCTAAATCCCATCCCAGAGCTTGCTGATATGCCATGCCAGGGTGGTCCACAATCAGCTTTATGCCTCACGGACAGTTGTTGTGTTCACTGGGACAATATTTGCTTTTAAGGTGTCTTCAAGAAAGACCTGTACATGGAACAGCCTTCCCACCTCTGCAGTGCTGGACTTTCCTTTGATACATAAAACTGTGGGCTGCATGGACCTTGTCCAGTATAGAAATAGAGGGTACTGTGAACCTTTTAGGTATTGGATGCTAAATATTTGAATGCTCATAGCTCTTGTGCCCTATGATGCATCCAGTCGACAGTGGCCAACACCTTTAGGGGAGATGAAGCTATTGCTCTTCTCAGGGTCTCCATTACATCCAAATGTGCCATGCACTGTGCTAGGCATTCTGCGCCTCCTAATTAGACTGAGCAGTGGTAATTCCCCTCTGAAAGTGAATTTTCTTCTAAATGAATGCTCTTATGCTCACAGCCAGGGTTTGAGAAGTGATGTGCAGAAACAACGCTATCTGGCTGTCATTTTCTCCTGGACACCAGAAATGCAAGGATGTCAGCCCTGTCCAAACAGCGTGTCATTGCTGTTCCCTCAGCAAAATGACATCCAGCTCCTCAGCTTAAGCTGCAGAGCTTATATGAAGAACAACAGAAAATACAGAGAAAGAGAGAAGAGAGAAAGGAGAGACATTGATAAACTGCTTTTAAACTCACTATGTGCATTACTGTTATAAAACATATGTATCATCTTAGCTTCTGTTGCGCTAACTGTGCCAAATTCAGGGGGGAAAAATACATAGAAAGCTCAGCAAAGCCCCATCCAAGAATACAGAATCTGAAAACTTCAGATTTCTCTCTTTTTTTTTTTTATTCTTTCTCAACTCACATAGCTGTGTAGTGGCAACAAAAATCAGTCGCCTAAAATTCTTTCCACCCTGAATTCACAAAGGGACATGGGTTTATGCAGGTCCCCTTCTCTACCCACAGCCTTCTTTCCTGTAGGATTTCCACTGAAGCTGCTCTCTACTACCAACCCTTGGGTCTCAGGTTCCCCCTGCTCCACCTGGCCAATTGCACTATGCTGTATTTGCAAGGCCCAGCACCCTTAGCCCAAAATTCAGAGCATCCCTCAGACCAGAGATGTCCACCCCAAGGACATAGGGATGCTCCCCAGCAGCACGTCTCCACGGAGGAAGGGTAAGGGCCAACTTGGTGCCTCGCTGCTGCAGCATCCCCAGCACCACCCCTATGCAGGGTGTGGATTCCTGCACTGCACAAACCGTCTTTCTTTGGCTTACCGTAGCCTCCAGGCAGATTGCAGCAGAATTTACAACATCCTCATTGGGCAGAAAACAAACAGGAATGGGCTCTCATAATGTTTTGCAAATACAGAACGACTCAGGAGCGATGAAGAAAGCAAGAGCATGAAGAGTCACGGTAATGATAGTTACTGTTATTGATAACTACAAAATTACTGGAAAAAAAAATAAATAAAGCATTACACATAGCTCTTGTCTGAGCAGTTTGATCATTCCATTTCCATTTTTGAATAAAGAAAAGCTTGTTTTGCTATTACAGCTTCTGAAGCAATCCGAGCCATATGCAGGGATGCCACACAGAGAAAATAAAACACACACACATCCACCACCAGAGACAGCCCGACATTTTCCAAACCTAAAAAAAAAAAAAAAAAGAACCGTGAGTTTATCCTGAATGTGGGCGAGTTCTCATTTCACTGAGACAACTTGCTGGAGAAGATGGCTAAATAATCAGCTGGGAAACTAAAGACACTAAAAATCACTTCACTGGAAGATTTCTGGGGCCTGGGATTTGACATAAAGCACAATTCATCCATGCAGTTTGCTGCTCAGGTGAGTGCACACCCCTGAATGAGCTCAGTTCACTGCACATCTCTACAAGCCACAAGTTTAAGGCAGGGTTGGACATTTTGATAGCAAGAACAGCAAGAGTAATAAAACAAGGAGTTAAAAAAGCCCCATCAGTTCAGCAGGGATGTAAAAACCCTTGGTGGGAGGGATGGGGAAAGACAAAGAAGACAAAACAAGGATTTTGTAGGCAAGTTTCTCTCTGAGTAAATTCTTCCATAACAGTAGCATTTTTAGTGTCTTCCTTGAAGCAGAAAGGAGCAATGGGGTGATAGAATGGGCATGAGGCAGGATTGTGGATCAATTGAAAATCCAGTTTTCTGCCTTCCACAAGAGAAGCATTTTCATCTCAAAAGAGACAAGAAATGTAGCTGGAAGCCAGGACCCCATCTCTCATTCCTTCCAATCTATTTCCAGGTAGGTGTAAGAGCTGGCCTTCATCTTGGCTAAATCCTGTCCCTGCTGAGGCCACCAGGGAAGCTCAGAGGTCCCCAAGATGTGGTGTTTGTTTGGGGCAGGGTGCCCAAAGGTCTCCTGCCGGAGGGCTGAGCAGCCAGCTAGCTTTGTAACCACGGGTGCTGAGCACACACATTCCCCATGCTCAGCATCACCAGCTCTAAATCAGGCAACGGTGAGGTCAGTTCCTGAGAAGGCTGGAAAAGACAGAGCTGATATTATCACAAAAGCTCCTGTCGAGGGCTGTGTTTGCTGGCAGCAGCACAGTGGTGTTGCTCATGTCTGGAAGTGCCGGGAATGACAACATTTCTGCAACAAAAACCCAGCCCAAGCCAACACGCAGGAGCAAGAGAGGAGCTAGAGGTCTGGCAGCTGACCCACCTGGAGAAGACCTTAGCTTCTGGGTCCACTAAGGAGGGCATGGGCTGCTCTATCAAAATAATAATAACAATTTAAAAAATGGGGATTCATGCACTGATGCTCTGAGATATAACTGCCCAGATCATCCTTGCCCTGTTCTTGGTGCTGAGCAAGGGGCTAGCCAAGGTGGGTGTGGAGGAAGGATGGAAATTCACCTTGGGAGCCCTGCTGGAGCAAGCAGGTGTCTGTGATCCAGGGTGAAGCACTTGCTGAAAGCTCCCCTGAGCTCGTGGCATTTTGTCACCATGAATATTTAACTAGGCCATGGCCTGCCTGACACTTCGCAAACACATTCCCACTGCCATGGGGCTGCCCGAAGCCTCCGCCAAGACAGAGGGGACATGCAAAGGGGTCCTCAGCCTCAGGTCAACACTTCCACTCCTAGTCAATCCTAAACACTTGACCTGAACACTTGACTTGCTGGTTGGAGTTGTTGCAATTGGCACACTAATACCAGCTTTTCACATCCATCAGTAGGATTCACCCTTTTCAAACCAGGGTCTTCAGCAAGATGAATCTGTCCTTGTTCTCCCACCATCCCAAAATGCACCCAGCACCTCCCAGGGCAAATCTGGCACCAGGCTGAGCAAACAGGACACACTGCAGCCAGGAACACCGCATCTGCCATCACCACTTTGGTTGAATCCCATGCCCAAGTGCAGCCAGAAGCCAATATCTTGAAGACAGTAGGTTTGAGGACTCTGCTGAGACCTGAGCACTGCATAGGCTTCTGAGAATGGAAATTTTTTCCTGAGAATTTGCTGTGGGTGACCACAGCAAATCTGGCAGCTCAGGACAGATAGTTTGAATCCAGGTGACTGCAGCCACTCTCAGGGATCACCATCCCCAGACCAGCTCTAAAAAGTGGTACATCTCAGGCTGCTTTTTCTCTTTCTCCTGTCCCTTTTCTGTTATTAGAGATGAAGGGAAGCATCTCCTTCAGTGAAAAAAAATATATTAAAAAATAGCCCTGATCTCTTTCTCTTGGGCTCACATCTTTCCCATGAGCGCATAAACCTCAATCATCCTGACATTTTCATTGATTCCAATGAAAGGACAAATTAAAAGCTGATCATTAATTCACAGGCTCCCTCTGCCCCTCTCCCACATAGGAACATCGGCTTATTTATGTCAAATATTCACTTTGTGCTCTGTCCTCAAATGTGCCATTTATGCCCCAGAAGAAAACCCTCTGCATCATGAGAGCTTATTTGGGAATTATCTGGACTGCAACAGACTCTTGCCCGCTGGAGGTCTCTCCTCAACCAACCCTTTCCCACCACTGCAGTCAGTTCCTAATTTTCTATGCTTTTAACCCCATCATGCCCCTTCATGCCAACTTGGCTCGGTTTTGAATTCTCAGCAGGCTTCCAAAGGAAGAAATCAGCCTTAGGATCCTTTGACACCAGCTTGCCTGCTGTAGCCCATTGAAATTTAATTTACTCTTCAGTGGATGAGCCGCTGGCTTGCAACCACCCCGTGCAAATCAGCTTCTCTGCTGACATGCAACCACATTGCAACCAGCTCCAGTAAACGTGTCCTGCTTGTGCTCCAAACCTTCTTGCTGCCTGTAGCCTGACTGCTTCCCAAGGCTTTGCTTGGGAAAAATGCTGGAGTCAGGGAAAATCCTGCCTCTTTCAGCCCTGGGGGCTGAGTCTGCTTGCACATAGCCCCTCACACCCCACCAGCTCAGCACAGCATTCCCTGAGCTCTTCCACCCAAACTTCATGTGCCATGAGCTTAGCATCAGCTCCCCCCACCCCAGACCACGTAACTTCGGCTGTGGCTTTGCGTTTGCATTGGTTTTCCAGGCAGAAAATATGGTGTATGTTAAAGACCCCAGAGCTGTAGCAGGAGGAGGTCAAATGACTTAGACAAAGTCACAGAAGAGAAGCTAAGAGAGGCCGTGGTCCATCTGAGGCCTCCCAGCCCCATACATTAACTGCAGCCATCCTCGCCTTACATCTCATTTTATCCTCTAAATGCTGGAGGCTGTTTAGTGTCTCTTTTTTTTTTTTTCCTTTTTTTTTCTTTTCTTTTCTTTCTTTTTTTTTTTTTTTTTTTTTTTCTGTTCAAATATTTTACTAGCTGCACTGAAAAAAGAGCTACAAACAGTGGGGGAGAATCTCTCGTGGCCAGAATACAATGAAGTGCATAAGTGCGAGGGATTGCTCTTTACAATGCTCGAATCAAAGATAAACATGAAAAGAGCCACATCCTCAGAGCATAAAACAGAGGAAGACACCATTCCCAAGGGGAGCGGTAATGCCTTTAACAAATAAACTACCTCAGAGGTCAGAGCAATGTGGGGAAGGATATTTTTTTTCATCCTGCGACCCACCTGAATTTCAAATCCTGGCAATTTGCTGGCAAACAGCTCTGGAGAACAGCACTGAGGTGCGGGATGTGCTGCTGACAGAGGCCCTCTTCCAGGGACACCGGAGGACTCCAAGGTCTCTAACTGAGGAAACTTCACAGCATCCCTACAAGCTGCCTGGAAGATCCGTAACGTGACATCAGGCCCATATCAGGCTGATGGATCACTTCTGGGCAGCCAGGAGCACAGAAGTGTTTTCCTTGTGTTTTCCAACCCGGAGCTGCCTTGCAGAGTTTCAGACCAAAATACCCCAGGGAAGCAGGCAGATTCCTTCCCAAATTCAGGAGCTGTGGTGGGTGCCTCCTGGGAGACCCTCCAAAGGGCAGGGGAAAGGCAGCATTTTCACTCGCTTTAGGAAACAGAGCATTTACAATATTCAAGACCCCTAAAACATGCAATCTCATGAAATTCAGAGGCACAGCGACAGGGACAGACATTCCTAAATGACTATGGAAAGGCCAAAAATGAAGCCCCTGTAAGCTCCTCCAAGGAACCCCATTGCCTCAGGTGGATCTCCCTGCCCAGGACTGCCCCATTTGAAGCCCTACACAGAGCATCACCCATGAAGGCAGAGCAGTCCTGCTCACGAATCACTTCTACAAGCTCTTCACCTCCCCTGGGATCAGCACCAGTGTGACCCCCCAGGCCAGGGTCCAGCAGTGCAGAAGTGACCTTCAGCATGGTCACTGTGCACCAAAAGCATCAGGGTACGTTTGGAGCCCACCACCTTCGTGTTCAGCCACCAGAGCGAATTGTAGCTGTGTCTGGGGGAGATGGAGGGCTGCTGAATATTTATCAGGCTTTGAGGAAAGCTGCCCATCCCCAGCAGTCCCATAGAAACAGAGTCAGGGCTCTGCCACTGCCGGCTGTAGATGTCAAATTATTCTATACTTACACCAAGTGTACAGCTCTGCAAAACTGCCCTGCAGCAGGGTCTACTGCGCCCAGGACTATCGGTAATTTTATTCAACACTGATGAAAAGATGCAGGAATCAGCCTGGCAGGGGAGGAACAGGGACGGACAAGTGCCCAGTACAGACCCTGGGACATGCTCAGCTGCTGCAGGCACAGCTGATGGTGGGGAGGAGGACATTTGGGGAGAGGAAAAAAGAAAGGAAAGATCAGAGAGGAAGCAAGCATGAGAAATAAAATGAGCAAAAAAGAAGCAGAGCACAGCTCCTTTCACTGGTATTCCCCTAGCACCCGCAGGCAGCCGAAAAGTTGGGGGGAAAAAAGCGGTGTTGTCTTTCAGCAACTAATCCTTTGAGGGAGCAAATCAAATTGATGTATTGCCCAGGGAAAATAGGAGCCCACCAGCAGCACCAGAGGAATTCGATCGTAGGAGGGCTAAGTGAAGAAAATGCTTTTATATTTTATTCAATTTGAAGACGTCTTTTCCAGAAAAAGGGGGGGATCCCATTGTTAAGTTACATCAGTGCCCTCCACGAGTCCCATGAAAGCCTTCTGTTGCCATCCACAAGCGTGGGAATGGGTCATTTGGGGCACGTCCCAGCCAAGGAGAGCTCCCCTTGCCAGATACCCACCAGACAGGGTTGGGTTCCCCACGGGACCCTTGTGCTTTATGTTTCAAGTCTGAGGACGCTCAGCCCGCACAGTTACCAAATAGTTATTCTGGCCAATTTATTGCCTTTTTGTGGAAATGGGACCTCTTTGTCTTGCTCCCTGAGCTGGAACAGCCTTTTCTGCTCCCATACCCAGTCACCTGGGCACTTTTTCTGAGCTCCAACCTTGCTTGTGCTACAGGTTACTGTTGGTATTTCCTCTGCTATGTGATGACTGAGTTGAATAATGCTCAGGTTTCACCAAGGTGTCTGACACAGTTACTCCAGTTAGCACAAGAAACACACTGCTTTAAACAAGAATAAGAAAACACCTGCCTGCGTTCACCTGCCCCAAACCACAGCTCCTAAAACACAAGGCAGGCAGGAAAAGGTTAGCCTTAGCAGTTGCTGGCAGGCCTGAAAATCAGCTCTGTTTCCACCTGGTGCCAAGGAAAGCTGCTCCCAAACCTCTCTCCTGCAGTGCGGATGAGTAACAGAACAAAGCTGAACCTGCTCCAAAATGTGGCTACGGGGCCAAGGTCAAACGTGTGCTCAGGACAGGTAAAGGAGTGCTTTGCCGTCACTGGATTGGTAGGAGCCCATGGAAACAGCTGCAAAGGTGACCTCAGCCAGGCAACAGACCACTTGTCTCTTCCCTGTGCTTCTTGACCCTCAAGAGGCAGAAAGAAACACCAGTCAGACTGTATTTATGGCAAATTCACAGCTCTCGCTAGGTCTTGAGCAGCCCAACAGGACAAGCATCCGCAGCTCTTGCTTTTGACTACAACACAAAGCCATCATAGGTGAGACCAGCTCCTTGCACATCCCCTGGCTCGCTTTTCCTACAAGATCTCTGCCGAGTGTTTGCTCCCTAGGAGAACAAATTGTCCACACTTTCTGTGCGGATACACCCCACTGGGAGCAGGGAGCACTGGGACCGAGATTTGCAAACTCAGGCTTGAAATCCTTTTTTTTTTTTTTTTTTTTCCATCATTTTTAGTGATGGCATCATTATTTGCAAAAAGTAGTGGGGAAACTGGGCCACAACACTCACACTCAGCCAGTGTCAAGGATGCCCAGCCTTACAGGCGAAGCAGCCCCCAGAAATGCAGCACACGGTTGCTGGGGGCCTCCCATTTGCACTGCTCGGGGTGGCCACGTTCCCCAGCAAGCACAGGGCTCGGGAGAGAAGAAAGGCTTTTGCATGGTTCATGTGTCAGGCACGGCCCAGCAAGGTCAATCGGTTTTGCAGGGGGAGCCAACGGAGAGGGAAAACTGCAGCTGATCCCGAGGAAAGGGGGGGAAGGGGAGAAGGAATCCGGGGCCGTGCCAAGAGCTCTGCAAACAAACCTCGCTGCAGCCTCAGCAGATGAAAGAGCAGCGCCCGGCGAGGGGGCTTCTGTTCCTAGGCATAAATCAGGAGCTGCTCAAACCAAACCAAGGACACCCCGCTGGCACGGGCAAGAGAAGAATCACCCCCTCCTGGTCCCGAACAACAGCCCTGGGCCCCCGAACACACTGCCCAGGTCCCCAACGGGAGCAGCTCACTCGGGTGGCAGTGTGGCCATGGAGCTGGGGGAGATGCAAGCCCCCAGTACTAGATGCAAGCCCTGTCCGGGTTTTGGGAGCCTTCGAGCTGCAGCCACCCATGGGAGGCACCTCCAGCCTTTGTTTCATCCTCCCAGCCTCGACAAAACCCCTTGGACACCCAGCATCAGTGCACGGGTGCCCAGGAAGGGAAAAGGGCGGCTTTCCCGAAAGGAGACGAGCGGTGACAAAGACCGCGGCTCGCTGACAGCACGCTGAGCCACAAGCCACTTTTTACACCCTTTTTACAACAAATATTAGCTGGAGGGGGGCTGCGCTTTTCCCACTCTCCCGCCAGCACAGCCTCTCATTGTTTACTCTCCCCCAGCAGCCCAGGCGCTCTCGTTAATGTGCTGTGATTGAGCACTTCGGAGGGGACGGGTTTGGGGTTAGCTCCCGGCTCCCTTCGGAGAGCTGTTTACTCTTTAGTGATGCCTATGGCCCGCTGAAGACAGCGCTCCTCCACCCCTGCTGGGCCCATCTGCTTTGTCTGCCTGTTTTCCTGCTGCCACCGGCAGGCAGCTGGCCCGCGCGTTTCAGCGAGCGCTCGCAAACCCCTGGAGGGGAAAATAAAATTAACCCGGTGAAGAAGGGGGCTGGGGAGGACGGGGAGGAAGGAGAGAGCAGGGCGGCTGGGGAACCTGCAAGGACAGGGCCCAGCTGACACCAGGATGCTGCTGGCACCTGGTGAGGGCTTGGCCAGGTTTTTTTGTCTCGTTTTGTGTGTTTTTACCTGGAGGAAACAGCGTGCAAGAAGGCTTCAGCTCTTCTTGGGTCCCAACATCCCTGCCTGATGGGAAGAGGGCTTCAGACCCCATTTCTTCTGGTCATTATGTTGTGCCATGGGTCTCCTCTGGTTGTCCTACCCCTGCACCGCTGTCACATCTGGCCCAGGCCACCTGCAGGCACCCATCCTTTCCCCAAAAAGAGCCCAGCACAAGAACACGGCCATCAGACCCCACAGTCAGAGCCAGGGGCTGGCCTGCTCCCCCCTGCTGTCACCCCAGCTGTGCCTCTGTCATTGTCCTGCCAAAATGCCGCGCTTGGCTGCAGCCACAGCTCCCTGGGAACCCACATGTGGTCTCAAGGCTCATGAAAAAAAGGTCTAAAGAGAGCCGTGACCACAGCCACAGCTGGCACAAGCCACAGGGCTACATCCACAGGCACAGAGATTTCCTGATCAAAAATGGAAAGTCTTTGGAAACCTTTGGAAAATCTGGCTCTGCCTCCTCTCACAAACCAGACCCTTTGCAACTCAGGTGGAGGTGTCAGCAGAAAATAAAAATGAAAAGTGAGTAGAGGTCTGTCCGGGGAACCCCCTTCCCAAATTACAGCCATGTGCTGGGGGCAGGCAGGCTGATGCAAGCACGCACATGCATGCAGAAATTAATGTATTGCCTACACTTCATGTGCACACATACACCCTGCAGAAATCACCAAGGGGGGGTTCTTCACATGGTATTTCCTCTAAATCCCCCAGGTCTGAGCACTGGGAGTGACCAGGAACCAGGGGGGTCTCTGGTTTGCCTTCATCCTGTCTCAGATCCGCAGGCATAAATGAGATCTGCGCTTCCCTTCCCGGCTAATGGGGAAAGTAAGTGGAACCAGAAGTTGGCCACAGTTGTCAAGCCGATATTATATGCTGGGAAACCGGCAAGTGTCACTAATCTCCAGGGAAGACTGAAAGTCCCCGTGCACACAAATACCTATGGAAAAATAGGTGTGTAGGATCGAGCATCCCCCGGGGCTCTCAGCTCCTGAGCCTGCTCGCTGGGTCTTCCTGCTAAAGTATATTTTTTTCAGCTTCATGCCACCCACTAAGCCCATGCATCCCCTCTCCTTTGTGGTAAGGCAGCCGTGGCAGAGGGAGGGGGCTGTGTAGCACTCAGCAGGGCTCCAGATCATGCATGTGCACCATCGCCTGCTGATACCACAACCAAAAAACCTTTGCAAAATGTGAGCCCCTGTACCATGCTCCCTCCCCAGCATGAAGGGGTGAGTGATCAACATGGCCTGCCTGGCATGTTTGCCCCCGTATCCTCCTCTCCAGGTATGCACAGCTCCTGCTGGCATTAAAGGGAGATGCTCCGGTGCCTGCAGCAGAAAATAGATCCCCCTCACTGTCTGAGCTGTATTTACAACAATCAAAGTCTCCATAAATTACAGTTATCCAAATGTTCTGCTGGTCTGAATCCACTGGTGACACTTATTTTTCTTCCCCTCCTTTCCTTTCTCTTCTCTCCTTCCACGTACCAGGCTTTGCCAGCACTGGTCCCATGGAGCTGCCCATCAGAAAGAGCTGAAGGAGGAGAGGCTGAGGATATTCACTCCCCAGAGCCTTTGACAGCACAGAAAAGGAAGAAAATGCCACCTGCTACCTGATGGGGACAAATTTCCTACCTGGAAAATCTGGTTGCTAAACATCTGGCCTGACAGGCCTGAGAGATGGCTTCCAGCAGAGCTGGGGAAGGCAGCAGCGTGCATGCGCTGCACTGAAGCCCTTAGCCACAGCTCAGCAGCACCAGGCTGCCCACAGAGAGAGCAACAGCAGCAAACCCCCTGATTTATCCTAAATTTCTCATACTGTAATCCTCTGCAAACTCCCAGGGAGCTCAGCAGCACCTGTGTGTAGGGGAAAGAGGAAAAGCTCTTCCCCAGGTGAGAGCCATCCCAAAATGATGGGTGCATTGTGTGAGTCAGGACCTCCAGCTGCGTCATGGCAGCCTATGTTTTGCAACACAGCTGCATGCTCAGAAATTTATTACCTTGCATTATGAACTATTTGTTGTAAGCTGGAGGTTGTGAGGAGATGGTCTGGGAGAGGGGGAAGCTAACAGAGCAGCGCACATGGCCACAGACGCGAGACAGCACGAGGACCCCTGGGTGTTGGAGCTCAGCCTCCTGCCCCTATTTCTTCCTCTAAGGCACATCACAAAAAGAGACACAACCTCCGTCCATGCTTTGGATACAAGGGGACTGATCTGATTTTGCTTTTCTTTTTTTTTTTCATGAAACTGAATGAGCTTTTTTAGCAGTCTGACAACAGAGGCTTGGCATTGTCACCATGAAGCATGAGAAAAACCATGAGCCAGGTTTGGAAATCATGAGATTGGCTTAAAAAGCAGAAGACTTTTTTTTTTTTTTTTTCCCCTTATTATTCATGCATCTGTTTAGAAACAATACACATTCTTTGTGTTCAGCTCCAACCCTCTAAAATGTCAGGGACTCGGCTTTTAAGGAAATTTATCTTTTTCAGCCAGAAGGAATGAGAACTTACTTCTTTTCTCTTCTGCGATTCTTGTGTGGTTGCACGATACAGAGCTCTGGGTTTTGGGGTGGGGGAAGGAATAAAGACTTCCATGGGGCTCACTGTCAAATGACCGAGCTCCCTGCTCTCACCATGTGGCTGCACAAGCCAAGAGCATCCACGCTGCATGTAGGCACACGGGGAAATCAAGGCCTGCCTCCCTATTTGTCTACAGCATGCATTAAGTGAGGTTATCCCCCTGCACAAGGCGAATTTCTGACAAGATTTGTCAGACCTGAGCATCTGGACATGGGGGAACGTGGAGCCACAGTGGAGCCCATCAGCATCCCTGTGTGGAGATGGAATTGTCAGGCTTGAGGTCTGCATCTCACCAGTCTCAAAAAGGAGGTGCTAAAGCCTTCCTGTTGCTTTGATGTAAATGTCATGGCTGAGAGTCATCACAATGGGTCGTGCTATAAACAACCCCAACACGTTTCTCTGCCCAGGAGAAATCCCACTACAACTCTGGTGTTAGGCAGAGCCCATCCCCTGACACCAGCTAACACATACAAGCAGGACCAGAGTCAGGCCATTCATCAAAGAAGTGGGCAGTTTTCTCCAAGTCCTGCAGTAAAGAAATAAAAATAAGAAATAAAAAATGACCATTGGTTTGCATGAAAAAGAAAACATAAACTTCTTATGAAGCATCCAGCCATGGAAACGCGCTCATGTGGCTCCTGGGACCCCTTTCCTTTCGTCAGACTTCACATGAAAAGCCCTCTTGCTGCTTCCCCATGTCAGCATTAACTCCTCCAAAGCGATCAGCATCAAGGGTGGAAAGCAGAGCTGAAGGGAAGGGAGCAGCAGTCGGTGACTTACAAGTGTGCTCAGGATCCTGCCTCGTGAAAGGTAGCCAAACCCTGAAGGTTTTCTGCAGTTGTACCTGCACGGGTGTTTCTGCCTCTGATTATCCACTACACCGGTCTTCCAATAGCACTGGAATTGCAAAGCTAATTGCACTGTAAAAGTAACGGCCTATGAAATTTTTAATGGAGCAGATTGCACTTATATTTTTTTCCTCTGTGGTTCAATATACTTCGATATCTTTTTTCTCTCTCGCAGCTTTTCATTCAGGCTTACAGTGGATTTATACAATTGCTTTCCTCAGTGCTATAAAGGCTGGACCGCAGGACGGCACCGGTTTGTTTTCCAGCTGGACCCAGGCAGCCGAAGCCCACAGCTGGGCACTCAAGTGTTTTGAGGAGCATCCAAAAATACATCCTCACCCCCAAATCACTGATACATAGATACATGGAACAGTCACTTATCACTTCATAGCTGGCACAGCGTAGTGCAGGCTGCGGACGAGAGGCACAGGAAGGCATGGCTGCTGGGCTCCTTCTGCTCCTCCCCTGAAAATACTGAAAATACAACAGGGAAAGGGAAAATTAGGGAAAAAAATAATAAAAATAAATTAAAAAAAATTAAAAAAGGAAAAGGAAAAGGAAAAGGAACAGGAACAGGAAAAGGAAAAGGAAAAGGAAAAGGAAAAGGAAAAGGAAAAGGAAAAAAAGAGGAAAAAAGAAATAAAGGAGCAGTACATATGAGGGACAGAAGCCAAGCAGCATTTAAGGTAGGATGAGGATAAGTTTTAAGAGAAGTCACGAGGAGCAGTGTGCTAGAACACAGAAATAAGAGCAGTGATGGAAGCATACCAATGGCAACAAGTTCTGTGCCAACTACAGCACTCAGGGTCACACGAATACAAAAAACAGGGCCAATGAAGAAGAAGAATGAGAAGAAAGAGAAGGAGGAGAAGGAGGTAAAGTATTGGAGCTCTGTGTATGGGGTGAGGACAGCCAAGCAGCACAGGGATCCAGGGATGTTCCTTAGAAGACATCAAAATGAAAACATCCTCTTAGTTGTTTCGTATCAATGTTGTGAAATTCCTGTTCCCTCTGAGGTAACGAAGTGGTCCATCTTCCATGCTGCCTCGGAGAATTCCTGGGTGAAGAATTCCAGCTCCAGCCAGTCCTAAATGTCAGCAGATGGGCTGTGAAGCACCTGCCGAACCCACTGGAAGAGATGGGACCTCCTCAAAGCAGTGTGTCACCTGAAATAAAGAGCACAGAGAAAGAACAAATAGAAGAAATGTGGAAATGCCCACACCCCAGAATTAACTGACACCCTAAGCATGATCCGCCCCAGTTTGAGCTGAACACATCATCTGATGATGACAAGTCCAGTGCTCCAGTCCCAGAGCCACCCATCTCTGTCACATTTGCAGAGAGCATCAATTTTAACAGTATAGCATGAAGCTTGCATTACTAGTGCATGCAAACATGTGTGCAATTCAGATATATTCTAATAGACAGCTCTGGCCCATGACATTCCTGCAGGTCAAAATTAAAATAAAAGGGAGAGACGCGCCGTGCACCTCTGGTTAGACTCCGGGCTGGCTCGGCGCAGAGGCAGCCTGCAGTTAATCAGCCTTCTTTCTCCACTAACTGTCACTGCAAACAAAGGAATTAGCAGAAGGTCTGTAGGGAGCATTGAGATAATTTGGCTGGCTGAAGAAAAGAGAAAGAAAAGAAAAGCAAAACAAAATTACTGAGAAATTTACTCGCGCTGACCTCTCCATAAATATTTAGATATAATCATCATTACCTTGGAGTAAATTAAGTTATAAACAGTCTCCACAATTGCTCATGATGAATGCGTATCGGCATCAGAGAGCACTTTATTGCAAGTTAATGTGGAAACGGAGCACCTCAATCAATCAGGACACAGAAATGCTGCCGGATGATATCAGCCTGGCTCACCCTATCCACGCTGGGCACCGTACGCTCACCCACCCGGCCTCCTCTGCCCCCGATGTGTTGTGTTAATAAGTACACATCGAACCGATGGCAAGGGGTACGTATGTGGAGCCAGAACAACAGGGGAAGTACAACACGTGTCCTAAGATGTGTTAGTGGTATTATTTATGCTACAGTAGTGTCTACAGGGATTGAGGATGTGTCCCCCCAGTGCTGAGCTCTGTACACAAATGCAGCCAGCAACCTGGGGGGGGATCCGTCCAACCCAACCCAGACACCCACAACAGGGATGTCCACGGCCGAGCTAAGTAATCCCCATCAGCCCCCTTCACAGCCAGCAGACAGAAATCAGCACTTTTGGAGCTCAGCTCTCCAGACCTATTTGAGACGTCTAGTGGAAGCAGAGATGAATCGTGCCCCGGGCTCCTTCGGTACCTTGGCTCCATCTCCGTTTGGGAGCCCCGGGTGACTGCTGCTGAAGTCAGCATCTGCTCTGTGGATGCCGATTTGATGAGACGAGTCCCATCCGCTCCGACTGAGAGGCTTAGAAAAAGCAGACAACCACACAGCAAGCAAATGGGAATCGTCTCCCGGCTGCGTTTTTGGACGTGAAACCCACGGAGCCTTGCAGGGCCAATGACTTCCCTGAGAGGTTTTTCAGAGTCCAGCTGCTGAAGAGGAGAGCGGCAGGGGGAGCATGCTGCAGAGGCATCCCGTCGCTTTTGGTGTGAGAGCTGAGAAGTCAGGAGCTTTGTTTTCCATTCCAGTCACCACGTATGAGAAAAATCAAAATTGTTTCACACTCTGCCCCCTTGGGTCACCCACCTCCATCTCCTTCCCACCCAAGCCAGCACCATGGCATGTGTATGGCAGGTCACCCAGTGAGCTCTGCAGTGGCATCGCCTGGTAAAGGCAGGATTTAGGATTTGGCTACTTCACGACACCTACCAATCACCCTCACTTTCCCATCACCACCACCCACAGCACGCAGTAGCTAGAGGTGCTGCACACACAAGACTAAAAAGGGATTTCCATGCTGCAAGGTAGGAAGGAATGAGGTACAAGACAAGCGGTGATGAAAGTGTTTCTAAAAAAAGGAGCATGATCAGAGATTCATTAAGGCTCATGACTTCAGCAAGATGTTGAAACTTGCAAGAGAATAAAGATTTAAAAATGGAGGGTATGTATGCCTAAACTTCTTAAGACAGTCATTGAAATAGGCCCCAATACCACAAAGAGATGAACTAGGGTCAATTCAAGAAATCAGTGCATCATGCTGTGCTAATGTTCTTAGGAAAAACCATCTTCATCTGGTCTTCATCTCACTTCAGGGTTTTTTCTTATGGAAAAACTTTGTTTGCGTTTCCCATTTAAAAAAAAAAAAAAATAGTTATTATGATGTCCAGTTCATGGTGCTGCTTGGCTCGAATTTAGTGTTGGAAAACAACAACAGCAACAGACTCAACAGATGAAAAGTGCCAGACAGAGAAAATAATTAAAATGCAAACAAAGTGGGCTG